GGTTTAGAAGGGGTCGTGGTACTAGAGATATTGTAGCTGATGTTAGATGGATCTTGGCTGAAAGCAGGGAATACCAGAGGAATGTCTATCTTTGTTTCATTGACTATGCAAAGGCATTTGACTGCATGGATCATAACAAACTGTGGCTGACTCTGAGAAGAATGGGAATCCCAGAACACTTGATCGTTCTAATGTGAAACTTATTAAGGATAGTTATTTTTTTAAAAAAAATTTATGATATTTTTAAATTCATTGTTGCACATTTTCTTCCCCCATTTTCCCCTCCCCCAGCTCACCCCACTATGCATCCCTTGTTCTAGATTATTGTCAGATATAATGCCTAATCGTATATTCCTTTTGGAAAGTTCTTCCCCTCCTCTGTTCTACTTCAGGGTTCACCATCTATCTACTCTTTTCCCATTCTCTCCCCAACTCCACATGCCCCCAACCCTCCTCTGTCCTAATTTTTCAACAGTGGTGGTAGGCAGTTTTTGTCCTTTTGTGACTGAGAAATTTCACTCAGCATTATGTCCTCCAGGCTCCCCCATGTTGTGTAATGTTTTACAAGTTCATTGTGTTTCAGTGCTGTGTAATATTTCACTGCATGAATGCACCACAGTTTTTCTATCCATGTGTTTGTTGATGGGCACTTGGATTGCTTCCATCTCTTTGGTATTGTGAATAGCGCAGAAATAAACATGGGTGTGCGTAAGGACAGCTATTCTGGCGAATTCCTCAACTAGAATTCAGTATCAATCTTCCAACTTCATGTTTACATGGAAGGAATCAGTCAGTGGGTTTTAAATACGCAAAACACTGCAGTATGATGTACAATAGTGAAATTCCCAACTTCCTGCAACCTGGAAGCAGAGATCTAGAAATAGTTCCTCTCTCTCTACTCAATCTTCAAACATCCTCAACCAATTATGTCATTAAGAACGAGGAGAAAGAAGCGATGGACGCCAGCTCTCACTGTGGGCTGCTTAGCTTACTTGCCTTCCTTTGTGAACCACCTTTAGACGGTCACTCTCCTGAACAGGCAGGCCATTTTTAGTCCATTTTCCTGGTATGTTCTCAGAGATTTCACATTTCAAGCAGATTTCTTTCCCAAGTTTTACAGTCTGATCAGTCAGAGGTGTCAATATCTTCAGGGGCCTCACTACAGAGACAAAGGATTGATATTATTGTATTGTTGTTAACTTGCTTATTGATTTTGTTGTATTGTTGTTAGGTTGATTCTAGCTCATGGTAACGCCAATGTGCAGAGCAGAGCTGCCCTGCAGTAGAGCTTCTCAGAGCAGTGCCCAATTAGAAGCAGCTCGCCAAGGCTTGCCTCCATCATGCCTCTGAGTGGGTTTGAACCACCAACCTTTCAGTGAGGAGTCCAGTACTGAACTGTTTGTGCCACCTAGGGACTCGATGGCACACAACAACAACAACAACAGGGGCTCCTACGGAAAGAAACAGATCATGAAATATGCTCAAATGACAAGATGGTGTCATTTCGCAACGGTACAGGGAGCTTTGCCAGAATACTTTCTTTCATTATTGTTTTATTTTACAGGAATTTACTAAGGGCTTATGCTGACTGAGGCTGGTCTCTGGGTGGGAGCAGGACTGACTAGAGTCTCCGCACCCCTCAGAGTGAGACAGAGTTAGGACACTACATTTTGAAAATGAGACTTTGTCCCTACACAATTGATAAGCAAAGAGAACAAGGGGAGTAAAATATGCATTTTGTGTTTGCTTTATGCACAATTTGATGTATGAGAAAAACTAAGGGAATGCCGGAAAGTACACCTAGCCGAAATGAGGCCATTAGGGATGCACAAAATGCACACGACACACTTTCAACATTTACCAGCTTCAGCTGCAAACTCAAAGCTAGGTGGTTCGAATCCACCAGTGACGGAGAAAGATGACCAGTCTCTTCCTGGGCCATTTACAGCCTCAGAAATGCAATGGAGGGTCAGTTATGAGTTGATGCTGACTCCATGGCAATGAATTTGAGTTTTTAATCCCTTCACAGCTCTGATCTACAGGCAGTTTCCTAGGGAAGTGTCCCCAGGTTGACCTGTAACACCTTTTGATCTTTTTAAAAAGAAAAGGAGAGAGGAGACCTCAGTTTCAGCAAGAAAGAAGTGCCGGGAGGTGAGTTTACCCTGAGCAGGCCCCTGTCCCGGGAAGGACCCTGACACCAAGGGAGGCCCTGATGTGGAGTTTGTGAGGAATTCCAGCTTACACACGCTGGAGGAAACAAGGACCTTCTGCACACACAGAAAGCGTGCTTCCCCTGGAGCAGGCAATGGGAATTTGGCCTTCTAGCCTCCTCAAGTGTAAGAGGATTAATTTGTTTGTCAAAGGCATCTGCTTGTGGTATCTCTGTTACAGCTGTGTGAGATGTCTAAGACAGGCATGATGGTGGCACACATAGTTAAGTGCTTGGCTGTTAACCAGAAAAGCCAGATGTTTGAATCTCGACTGGCTACCCTGAGGAAGGGGATATGCAGTCCTCTTGTACAAAGATTTCAGCCTTGGAAGCCCCGCGGGGCAGGTCTACTCTGTCCTGTGGGACCGCTCTGAGTAGAAAGCCACATAATGGCCATGTGTACTATACAACCTGTAAGTTTCATTCTCAGTGAGCCTAATCAATACATGGAAACTTGCCTAGAACACATGTGTAGAGTCACCTAGAGTTAGCGAACCCTCAGAGCCCAAGGTGGGAGTACCTGAGGAAGTTTCACTTACAGTCCACACTCAGTTTAGCAGATGACTGCCCTCCTGTGGTCATCACCGAGTACTCGCCAGTGTCCGCCTTCGTTGCGCCTTCGATGATCAAAGTGTGCTTTTTGCCCTCAACTTTAACTCGATATCTTGATTTGGGGCCAAGGTAGATTTCCTCACCGTTCTTAAACCTGGATTAAAATGGACTGTAATAAATGTTTCGTAAAAGATCCTGCAGACACATGGAACAGGCAGATGGAACGGAAGCAGAGAGATTAACTGTTTCTGAGGGCTGGAGAAACAGGGGTTAGTTATTGTTTCCTTGATAATGGAATTTCAGTTTGGGATGACGAAATAATGTTTGGAAACAGATGGTGGTGATGTTTGCACAACATGATGACTGTAACTGCCATTGCCAAACTGCACATGTCAAATGGGTAAAGTGGAAATGGTTTCTCCTCCATATACTTGATTATAAAAATAATTTTAAATAATAATAATTGTTATTATTATTTAAGAATTAATAATAATAATAATTTTTAAAATGGAGACAGGCTTTTACTGGTCTTGTTTACTGTATCGTTTCCTCTCAAAGAGTAGGTAGCAGTCTAGATACTAAAGAATTATTTGCTGAATTAAATAATAAAGAAATCCATTCATGTCTCTAACTGGGTTACTATTTAATGAGTATTTTCTGCACTATTATCAGTGTCTTCGAATTATGATGCTGGAGAAGAGTCTTGAACATACCATGGGCTACCAAAAAACCAAATAGGTCTGTCTTGGAGAGAGTGAAACCCAGTTTCCCCTTGGAGGCTAGGATTTTGAAGCTCTGTCTCAAACACTTTGGGCAGATGGCCAGTAGATATCAGCCCTTGGAGAAGGACATCATGCTCAGAAGTGTGGGCGGACAGCACAAAAGAGGGAAAAAAACCCAGATGAGATGGATTGATACAGTGAATGGTGCAATGGGGGGTTGGTGTGTCAAAATTAGTGAGACTGGCTCAGGACAGGGCAGGGTTCAGAGCTGCTGTACATAGGATCGCTATGGGTCACCGGCACACATAAATAACAACAACATTATGAAAAAGAGGATACTCCTGGGAAAACAGAGAGAATACTCTCATCTCTCTGGCACCTTCTGTCCCCCGGACGTATTTCTACCCAGTGAAACCTTTGAGAACAGGAACTTCACAGACTGCCTTGCTTTTTCCAATTTTGCATGTTGTTTTGGTTAGCTGTCACTGAGTTGAGTATGACTGATAGCGACCCTATGAACAGTGGATCTGAATCCTATCCTAACCTGCATCATCCTTTTCCTACCTGAACCCATTACTGCATACTTGCGCCCACTTCAGTGGCCACTATGTCAATCCATCTTGTCAAAGGTCTTTTTTTACTAACCCTCTACCATTCCAAGCATGCTGTACCACCATGAGGCATTGCACCGTTTCCATTTTTGACAGGCTGCAAAAGTATCCTTTGTTTTGGTGGAAAGTTTTTGAGTGCCCCTTTAAATTTCTGGCTTAAAACTATTCTGGCTTTTGCAGGTTTTTATTTTTAGCATTTTTATTTTATAAAGTAGTTGGGGGATTGTCAAGCTATAATACTGTTTGGAGGTACTGTAACGTTAAAGTGACTAGGAATTAAATGAAAAAGCAAACCAAAGAACAGCTCAAACCCATGTTTGTCTGTGCAAGAAGAAGTCTGGTATTGGAATAGTGAGAAGAAGCATAAAATAAAAATTGAAAGCATCCAAATGCTTTGGAGTTAAACTGATCTGTTAAAGCTTTGTTGTTGTTGTTGTTGATTGCCGTTAAGTTGAGCATGACTCATAGCAAACCTATGAACAAAAGACCTGAAGCCTTTCTAGAACTATTTTCATTTTTCCAACTTCATAGAGTTTTCAGAGGCGTGTTATTTAGGAAGCGGATGCTGTTCCTGCTTCCAAGTTAAAGCTTTAGTCATCAATTTATTATAAGTTCCTATTTTTCTACATCCTCATCAGTAGAACCACTCTTGGCACCAGCAGCCAAGAAATTAAAAGACATATTGTGATGGGAAAGTCTGCTGTTAGGGACCTCTCCAAAGTACTGAAGAGCAATTGTGTCACTCTGGAGACTAAGGTGCACCTGATACAGGCCATCGTCTTTGCAATCACTTGCTATGCGTCACAGAGCTGGACAATGACTAGAGAGGATAGTAGGAGAATTGATGCCTTTGAGCTGTGGTGTTGGAAAAGAGTATTGAATATACCATGGACTGCTAGGAAAATGAACAGCTTCATCCTGGAGAGGGTTAAATCAGGCTGCTCCTTGTAGGCAAGGATTCTGAAGCTTCGTCTGACATACTTTGGACATGTTGCAAGGAGGGACCAATCCTTGGAGAAGGATGTCACGCTTGGGAGGGGGGAGGGACAGTTCAGGAGAGGAAGACCCTCTATGAGGTGGATTGATTCAGTGACTGGGGTAATCAGGGAAGGTGTGTTGGAGACAGTGAGATTGGCACAGGACAGAGCAGGGTTTAGGACTATTGTACATAGGGTCACTATGAGTCACAGGCGACTCGACAGCACATAACACCACCACCACCAACATCTCCTTTCACCTTCATAGACAAGAGAAAAAGTTTTGGGAAAAGAGTAGCCAGAGTGCTCCTTGGAGATAAAACTGGGATATCTAGCAAGGCTATTCCTTGGAAGGGGACATCATGCTTAGAAAGATGGAGGGTCAGAAAAGGAGAGGAAGGCCTCCAATGAGATGGACTGACGTGGTGACTTCAGCAAGGTTCTAGTGTGTCAGAGATGAGGAGGACGGCACAGGATAGGGCAGGGCTCAGGTCAGCTGTTCCTAGGGTTGCTATGAGTCTCACTCAGCTGAATGGCACCTAACAACAATAAGAAGAAATAATCCTTTGTTATCATCTGTACTAACACAATGGGATTAACATTCTTTTTTTAAAATTTATTTTGGGATTAACATTCTTTCATATGCTTAAATGCCATCTGTATTTCCTGTTCTGTGTACTCACAAAATACCTTTTATTTTGTATATTAGAAATGGACAAACCTCAGGAGAGCTAGTTACCATTTGACATTGGCATCATCTTCAGACACTTCACATTCTAATTCTACTTTCTCTCCACAGTAAGTATTTATATCTTCCAGTTGTTTGGTCACCATAATTGGAGGCTCTAGTGAGAGAAGAAAGGAGGAAATCAGAATCATTATATTTCCAGAGCCTGGCTCATGAGCCCTGATTTATCTAGTGATGCAAAACCATCAAGAAGAAAATCTCATTGGTCATTCAGCTAATGGTTTCCATGGTGGTAAATAGTCGACATATTTGATTAAAGAGAGGCTATAATACCTAAATGCTTTGACTCACCTTTTAGGTGGATAACTGAGAGTTCAAAGTCCTTCCTAATCAGAGAACCCCATTATGAGGAAAATAAATGACATGTGACTTAATTAATACACGACCCCTAGCTCTTCCTAGCATCTCCATAAATTAGGGTCTCCAGTGTCCTGGGGCTAACCAATAATGCCCCTTTACGAATGAAAGCTGGTTTCCAGGGGGAAATTTATTTGTGATTAGCTGAGTGAGTGAAAGGAAAGTTATCCAATAGAAACGGTCAGATTCCAGGGCCAGGGTAGAAGATCTTCAAGGAAGAAGGAATCTAATACCCAAACCAAACTGTTTCTAGAGGAAAAATTACTCTGCTCTGGACTCAAAGAGCTCACGTGGTCACTTCCGTTTTGTAATTACCCCAGAAGGAAGAGCAATCCCCTTCATTTAGAGAGTTCATGTTACCTCTTACGAAGAGCTCAGTGGAGCATTTCTCATCGCCAGCGGTCACATAATATTCTGAATCATCTGTCAATGAACAGTTATTGATAAACATGATCCTTTGGCAACCTTTGTGCTCAAAGATGTACCTGTTTTAAAAGGGAGCAAAATAAAAAGTCAGTGAACTTGATTTTAACTTTTGCTTTCTTGCCAGCAAATTTGACTTATAAGTAATTCTACACTGCTTTAAAGTTAGAAATACAATTTTGATATAGAATTCATGTGGTGTATCTTACAAAATCTAATATAAAAGGAAAACAAATTTTCATCCCTATACTAATACAGATGCATAATTTTAGATATATAGTTAAATATATATTTTATATATTATTTAACTTTATTATTTTATTTTATAAGGGTTTTTATTTTAAATATAAGTTAATATTCATGTGTTTTTTTATTTAATATTTTAACCCATGGTTGGAAAAAATAAAGGGCTGAAGGTGTTGGGGAGATTTTTTAACTCTGCACATTAAAAAAATTTTAATTTTTTTCCTTTTTATTTTTATTATTATTAATTTTAATAAGAAGTTACAGAGATTCTGGATTTCTATTCATTCACTGTTGCACTTTTCTGCACATTTTTAAATAACTAATTCAACTACTTTATTGCAGGGAAGAGGGAGACAAAATCTTCCTTATTGATATATGTTCCACACATTACCTAACTCAAGAGATTATGTTGGATGAATAGATTACACTATTTAAGTAAGAACGTGATCAAAATCACCAAAATAGTTCTAGGGAAGGCAATACTCTCTTCTTACATGAGTTTAAGCATTGGTGCAATCATATAACAGTTATCATTTATTTGAAGAGGATGTGAGCATTTAGAAATAGAAAACTAGAAGCAAAAAGTTTCTAAAATGGAATTATCTGTGACATGGATTATGAATTCCCATTCTAGCGCATTATAATCAACTAGAGAAAGGGGGGGGGGAACCCACATACACACACAAAAAAACCACTTTGAGGGAATTATCATACTGAAATCTTCAAGAACAAAGCATTAAACAGTATTTTCAAGGTAAAGATAGCCAATTGAAGTTTCATTTATCAGCTCAGATGGTCTTCCGGAGGTGCTCATCAGGTTTAAATAATACCATCACAAAGTTGCCCTGGAGGCATGACCACATTAAGTAACTGGAAACCATGTGATTATATTCCAGAAGTGATGGATTTCCAGGATTAAAGTCTTTTATAAATGTGCATGTGGCTTCTGTTAATTAAAAAACAAAAAATATATTGGAGTTGAAAATCTCTCAGGCCAGGAAGGATCTCTGCAAAGTGGTTTCATAATAGACTAGAAATATCATCAGACTTTGGGGATTAGTCTGTTTCTCTCATTTGGGAGATGATCAAGAAATACTAAAACATGGGATTAGGTCCATATTTTAGCGGATGTCAACGTCAAGTAGTTCTATTCAGACGCACTGTTGACTCACAGTCAGTGGTACTGAAGAAAGGCCTAAATTAACTAGAGGAGTTGTTGCACCATTACTGAGCATAGATGCTATTCTGGAAAAACAAAAGCTATCTAATTACAAGGTGTGATATCTCTTCTCGAGCTTATATATGAAATAGGTGTATTTCAATAAATTTTAATTTTTTAAAAATTGAGAGAAGTTTGCCAAAGCTCTGAGCAAGGACACACATCTTAAAGTGACACAAAATCACAGTTAAGAATGACTTAAAACAGTTTGTATAGATTAAAGCATCTAGGATTGAGATTCTGTAACATTTTTGCTCATAGTAGTCCAGTTTTCCTAATAATTCTGCCACGTGTTGCCAAAAAAAGACTGAAAATTTAAATGTGTATGTAAAGTATGTGATACTAAATTGCAAATGAATGTGACTTGAAAATAAAACCATTTATCAACAATTGAAGATATTGGTACCTAATATCCTCTGAAGGAAAATTTGTCTCCAAATTTAAAGTTGGAGAGTCACTCGAATTTAGAAAAGAATTGTAACTACATGGAAGTTTAGATTTTTAGTACATACATTTAAGAATTGGGTACAGATTGTTCATTGGGCCCCGTACTGACACTTAAACAAGCAATAAAATGCCAACAATGATGGAATAAAACATTCAGAATTAACATATAAAGCGAAGTTTGCTATCCACAGCACTGTATTTTAATCTTTTCAAAATGAATGGAAATGTATTTTCATATTGTATTTCATCATGCAAATTTTTTGTCAAAAATTTTATCTTTCTTCCCAGAAAATGAAGTGAGATTACTGTTAGAATTACTTAGACTTCTTGCTGCTAGAAACACTGACTTGTCAAGCCTACTTACTTTGTACTGGGTCGAATTTCTTGACCATTTTTGTACCACTTCACCTCCAGCTTTGGATCTGCCAGTTCCACAACAAACCTTACTTTGCCTCCTTTATCAACTTGATATGCAGGATCAAGAATTTTTGCAAAGGCTTGCAGAGAGAAAAAACAAGGACTATGTTAATATGCATAAATAGGTAAGTAGCAGAACAATCCTGCCACAGAAATGATTTCAACTAAAGTAACCCACAGGACAGAGCAGAACTGCCCAGAGGATTTAAATCTTGGGGAAGCAGATAGTCTCCTGATTTTTCTGTGGCTGCTAGGTTCAAATTGCCAAGGCACTAGAGTCTCTTATATAGATATGAATATAGATATGTGTCCTGTCAAAAATTTAGAGTGTGTGTGTGTGTGTGTATACACAAAAGTAATAAGTTTTAGAGAAGAAAAAATAAGAACCTTCTAAATGACCATTTATATTTTACACTTCTATTTCCACCAGCTGCTTTTCAGGAGAAAAATGGGCAATCTCCTCCTATGCAATTTACGGCCTCTGAAAACCTGTTGGAGGGTAGCTGTGAGTCAGTCCCTACATATACAATAACAATAATTTATATATTGTTGTGGTTATTGTGTGCCTTTGAGTCAGAACTCATAGCTGACCCTCTGGTGGGTTTTCAGAGGCAGTAAATCACACAGGAAGAGATTTCCCATTTTTCTCCAATGGGGTGGCTGGTGGCCTTGAACTGCTTGGCTTTGGGATTGCAGTGCAGCTTCTTGCCCCAAGGCCACTGGAGCTCTCTCTCTCGCTTTCTCTCATCTATCTCAGCAATGACCTCCACTTAATGTCCACAAGAAGCAGCAGTACTGTCTTACAAAACACGTCCACAACATTGCTGAGGGAGAATGTGATAGTAAAACAAAGAGACATCGAACCTGCTGAGCCTAAATGAAAATCAATTAACTGAAGAAGGAGGGAGTCATCCACAGGACCTGGAGAAAGGAGCCACCAGAAAGTCCCAGAGGTAATTGGAAGGTTTGTTATTTCATTCAATGTGTGTGGTTTTGTAAACTGTTGTCTTAAACCTTCAATATATCAAAGGTAACTCTCACACTTCATCTAGCGCCATCGCCAAACCCGTGAGGACCTGGATGGAGTTCACGTCAGTTCTTTTAATCACCTGCTGCCACGGCCCTGGGCGGTCTCCACGGACTAGCTCACCTGCGCTCTTCTTCTCCACCCTGCGCATGCGCTTGAGTCTCTTGAGCATGCCCCGCAGGTCCGTGATGCCATACTGGAAGGCGATCTTCTCGTACTCGTTGGGGTTAGCGTTCTTCAGCAGTTCCCACACGTCTATCTCGGGCTCCTCCTCCTGCTGCTTCACCTCTCTAACCGGGAAGGAAGCATTGCCTGGGTTAGTAGCAGCTCTGACTCTTGACAGGAGGGACAAGCAAGCGTTAAAAGTTTTGCTTGAGACTGGAGTACTTACAGCTGGGAGTCAGTCTACTACCTCTGCTTGCAGTCTGGAACAGTTCCAAACGTAAGGGATCAAATGTGTGCCCTTATTCTAACGCTTTGTTTTTCCTGGTGAAAAACACATGGACACTACACTGGAATGGGAGAAGAGAGGGCCTCTCTGAAGGGGAGGGCTGAGTAGACTTTGTGTGTCAATCTGAAATAAGACACGCATTACAAAGTGAATGGGGCGGGGGTGGAGAAGGGAGGAAAATGTACCAGGGAATGAATGAAAGCCTATCCTGTATATAAACGCCACTAAAAACACAACTTTGGTGTGGTAATGGTGGTAAAGAGGAGAATATAAAGAAATATGCTGAAAATAGTCAATATTTGTTCCTAATTCTCAACCTGAAGTTTGATTGATTGGAAGGTGGGATTTTGAGAAATTTAAGTGTTAATCCAGAATATACATACTGGGTTTATTTGGAAAATTTTAGTAAGAACGAAAAGATTTAGATATTGGTCTGGGGGGAAATAATCTCTTTCTCCATTGAGACACACATCATAGCTATCTATGTATGGAGATAAATCTAGAATTTCAAACCTTTGGATTGTGCAAATGGCATATTCCTACTATATAATGCATATATACATTAACAATTCTTTTTATTCTTAGGAAAAAACTGAAATTATCATAAATGGACATTTTCATATTATTTTGTGGATACAGATATCCCTTTTAATAGAACTTTCTCCTAATATGGCAGAGGAAAAGGAGTATGAGGCCAAAATATCCCCCCATGTTCATATCACAGTACTATCTTGAATGGTTTTGGGAAGTAGGTTGAAGTAGATTTATAACTAAATCAGTGCTCAACTGTACAGCACATGTTTTAAAATTCCATGACTAAAGAGGGAAATAGTGTAGTTAGCAATGAGTAACAAGGATCACAATTATAACTACAAAATTTGATAATCAACTAAAGATAATATACAACTCTAGCCTTCATTTGTCTGCCCTTATTTTAAAACCACAAATGACACCAGGACTCAAGATTAAACACAATTTAGAGAAAGAGGCTTCATGTAAATATATAATTTAATTCAAATTTATTTTCTTCACTACCCAAATATTCTAGATTCACTTTAAACTTAGTTGACCATCATGTTAATTAGGAAGGGTTGGCATTGTCTACTTACTGTGAATAATGTGGGTTTAGAGGTGATTCTTCAAGAAAATTGGCCTGAGCATCTTAGACATTGAGAAATTGGATCCATACTACTACGTTAATAAGCAACAGATTGCATATATTATCCTCACTGACAAATTCACTACCCTTCTTTTAGTTTCTTCTTTATACTCATGCACTTTGCGAGGGAAGTACTGGATGGTAATCATGGAAGTATTAATTGGAGTTTTTGGTGGCTGTAGGCAAGAATGATTCATCAAGATCTAATTTACATTTTACATCATCATAGAGGGGTTTGTGGCTAACTGGGGGAAATGCAGAAGCAGTTCTCTGTGAAAATGGGAGGAAGGGAGAGGTCATGGGCCCATTAGTTTCCTTTGTGAGAAGGCCTGGAGGCTAACACCATTAAGAAAAAGTGCCCCTTGGAAACTCAAGACTCAAGGCTTCACCTTGCTTAAACTGTATCCAGCTTAATATGGAGAAATTAGAAAGAACAGAAGTTATCCTGAGGTTGGGATTTTGATAATGATTTCCCAGACCTTCTATATCCACTACCTTCCAGCAGTCTAATTTTCAAAGTCTCGTGTGTGTGTGTACATGTATGGGTGTGGATTATAATAGCAAGTCTTAGAATAGTTGTTGTTGTGTACAATCAAGTCAGAACTGACTCAGAAATGAATCTTCAGTGTGTTTTCAGAGGCAACTGAATTGCTCTGGAGGAGGCTGCCTATCCTCCTATGTAGCTGCTAGTGAATTTGAACTGTATGCCTTAAGTCTTGGCGAAGTATATGATTTGTTTCTGTTTGTATTTCCTTAATTAAAAAATAGCAGCAGCTTCTGAAAATACCAGCTCCTCTAATGTTTTCTTAATGCTGTATTTGTTTAAACATTCCAGCTAAAGTGTAGTCCTCAAGCTAGCGTATTATTTATAGTTGCTGTTGTTGTGTACTGCTGAATCAGAAATGATTCACCACTGACCCTTCACCAGGTTTTTAGAGACGACAAATCACATGGGAGGAGACTTCCCATCTTTCTCCCATGGAGCAGCTGGTGGATTTGAACTGACAGCCTTTGAGTTGGCAGCATGGCTCCTTACCACTAAGCTGCCAGAGCTTCCTTTATCTGTACCATAGTTATGTGCCATTGAGTTGGCTACAAGTCATAACAACCTTATTAACAATAGCTCTGAATCCTGCCTTATCTTGAGCCAATGTGACTGTCTCTGACACACCTTCCCCCATTGCCACAGTCACTGTGTCAATCTATCTCATCTAGGGTTTTCCTCTCCTGCACTGACCCTCCACCCTTCCAAGGATGAGGTCCTTCTCTAAGGACTGGTCCCTCCTGGCAATATGCCCATATGCACTTTCACCAAGGTGAATTACACATATACATATTTCTAGTTCCTTCTTAACAATAGTAGTTGAAATATTTAAAGATAACACATCACCTATAATTAAAATAGCTATTGAGGGTCAAATTAAACTATTCTTTTACTAATTCTACTCAATGAGACATATGAAGTCTCAGGAGGTAAATATTTCTATGAAGGAAGAAGCCAAAAATGACTATCATTTTCAGAATATTAAGTCAGTTTGGATGTCAAAGATATCAGTCTAGAGCCTGATCCATGCCATCGTCTTTTCAATTATGTGTTAGGCATCAGAAAGCTGGACAATGACTAGAGATGATAGAAGGAGAATTGATGCCTCTGAGCTATGGTGCTGGAGAAGAGTGTTGAATATACCATGGACTGCTAGGAGAACAAACAGGTTTGTCCTGGTGAGACCAGATTCTGCAGCTTCATCTGACATACTTTAGACATGCTGCAAGGAAGGACCAGTCCTTGGGAGGGTGAAGGGTCATTTCTGATTCAGCAGTACACAACAACAGCAACTATAAATAATACGCTAGCTTGAGGACTACACTTTAGCTGGAATGTTTAAACAAATACAGCATTAAGAAAACATTAGAGGAGCTGGTATTTTCATCATGCATAGGAGGGTGGAGGGACAGCGAGGAGAGAAGACCCTCAATGAGATGGCTTGACTCAGTGACTGGAGTAATGGGGATAGGTGTGTCAGAGACAGTAAGACTGGCTCAGGATAGAACAGGGTTCAGAGCTGTTGTACATAGGGTTGCTAATAGTTGCAAGCCACTAGATGGCATATAATAATAACAGTTTGGATAGTAGATTTATAAAGTCTATAATCTTCTCCATGTTTTCATCAAAGCACCAGATATGCTCTATCACATTTCTACTCTTATCGAATACGTACAACACTGTTAACTTCTTACATATTCCTTCCTTCTCTCATTTTTTAGTTGACCCCCAAATTGTAAGAGAAAAAAACCTCATTTTTACTGGAATGTGAGGTCCAATATCTCACCTGTAACCTTTTCAAATTCAAGCAATTGAGTTAGTTCCCACTCTTAGAAGCCCTCCACTGGGTTTCTAAGGCAGTGAGTTACAAAGGGAGAATGAATCCAGCTGTGGATTAGCTGGTGGATTTGAACTGCCAGAGATGCAGCCTTCTGACCAGAAGCACAACATCCTACAGACCTTTAACCAGAGGAATTCCTTAAGACCTCTGAATACGCTTTTCTCTGGTGGCTGCAAAAGGCCCTATCTACATAGTTGTGTTAAACTGCAGTGTGGAGAAAACTGTAGGTCCCTGTAAACCTCTCTAATTCCTTTCCAAGCATTGGGCTAGACCTATATGATGCCAAGAGTACTTATATCTACATCAAAATCTCTATAACTTCATTATGCCAGTACAAAGGTGAAAAGGTGTTATAGACATTTTATGAAGAATAAAACTTTTAAGTATTCATATAGGTCACAACCCATAACAAAGCACCATGCCTCTCAAATATGACTCTGACTATATGACTGTCTATTTGAAATAATTTGGCTTTGTTCAGAGCAGGAAGATCTCTTGTGGTCTAGAGATATTGGTCATAATGATATTTATTCTTTTAGCATTTTACCGCACACTCTCGGAGTAAAAATGGTAACCATGTGTCATTACCACAGTGAAAATCCATGCAATTTGCATATTAGTAATACAACATAATGATTCCTAAGATTGTACTAGTGGATTAGTATATTAAATATAGTCTTACATTAACAACACTAAATATTAATCAAAGTCCTAGTTAGGGGATATAAAGCAAATGAAAACTAGAGACGTGTTGGCTGCCCAGTTTTCCTGATGATATTTTTCTTTTAGTTGTTTTAACCATATTATTAGATTTCTTTTTTTTTAACCAACTCTGCAAAGTACTGGTAGAGCCAGTTTGAGGTTTTTTCTTTATATCACCAGGCATTACACTGTATACAAGGAGTGCATTTAGTATTTTTTTTCCTGAATGAATATATGACTGCAGAAAATAAAAAAAAAACATGTTCTTGTCTTTCTAAATGTTAGTTTGTATTATAAACAGGAGCACCAACTTTTGGGACCACTTCAGAGTGTTTTTCAAGGGGTCACAGGACGTGAGCTGGTTTAGAAACAGGAAATTTAGATTTGATCCTAACTCTGACTCTGTGTAATCTGATGTAAATCATTATATTCGATGTATAATGATCTGGACCTGAGTTTTCTCCTCTCTAATGTGAGTAGGTGCACCTGATCCAGGTCATAGTTTTTGCAATTACTTGCTATGCATCAGAAAGCTGGACAATGATTAGGGATGATAGGAGAACTGATGCCTTTGAGCTGTGGTGCTGGAATGTTGAACTGTGTCCCATGGACTGCTGGGAGAACAAACAGGTTTGTCCTAGAGAGGGTGAAACCAGGTTGATCCTTGGAGACATGGATTCTGAAGCTTCATCTGACATACTCTGGGCATGTTGTAAGGAGGGACTAGTCTTTGGAGAGGGACGTCATGCTTGAGAGGATAGAGAGACAGCACAGGAGAGGAAGACCCTTGATGAGATGAATTGGTTCAGTGACTGGGGTAATGGGAGTAGGTGTGTCAGAGACAATAAGATTGGCACAGGATAGAGCAGGGTTTAGGGCTATTGTACATAGGGTTGTTATGAGTCACAGGCAACTCAACAGCACGTAACAGCAACAATAACAATGTGAGTATATCAACTGGCTAATAACTCTCAGTAATTAATAATTTATAGCTATTACTATTTCTACTCTCAAATGCTTAGAGTGGCTTTCTTTGTTGTTGTTCAGAGGAACTTAAGTAAATCCGTACAGCTAAAATGCAAATGATGACAATAAACAAACCCATTTACAACCCAGGGTTGTAAATATCATTTGTCCAGAAGTGGTTTTGTACTTATATTTTTTTTAAACATCCAGAAAATACTATAATAAAAATGTGTCCCAAACTTTGAATGAAAACTACTATCACTATTATTGTCTGCCATCAAATGGGTTCCAACCCATTAAAATCCTAGAGGGTAGAGTAGAACTGACCCCAGAGGATTTCCAAGGTTTTAAATCTTTCTAGACCATCCATGTTGCTCCCATGGAGTGACTGATGGGTTCAAACCACTGACGTTTAGGTTAATAGCCAACCACTTTAACCACTGACCTATCACTATTGTTGTTGGGTGCTATTGAGTTGACTACAACTCATAGTGACCCTAAGAATGGAAGATCTGAACTTTGCCCTATCCTGTGCCATCCTCATGATATTGATATTATATCTTATTAATTTAGAATTACAGTTTTACTTTGTTTACACATTTACTAAGGAAAATAGTGTCCCAGCAAAAAGAAATTTATCACACTCTAATAATTTTCTAGATATGTATAACTTTAGAGAGTTCTCATGGCCTACTGGTTAAGGAGGGCACTGCCAAACCAAAGGCAAGTGGTTGGAATGAATGAGCTGTTTCAAGGGAGAAAGATGAAAAATCTCCCCCATATGACTTATAACCTCTAAAAAGTTGCTTCTGACTTGATGGCAATGAGTTTGAGGCTGTGAGGTTTTTTAAACTTTATATATGATGCACATATAGTACATTACATAATTATATATGGGCAAAATTCTAAAAATTGTTATGTATTATGTATGTATATATATATGTTGTTGATTGCTTTCCAGTCATAAATAAATAAATAAATATTATTATATGTAAATAAAAAATATGTATAATGAAATGTCTTTAAATGTTATTGTTATTGTTGTGTTGTTGATTGCTGTCGAGTCAAGCACAACTCATAGCAATCCCATAAACAAAAGACCTGAGCCTTTCTATAACTATTGTCATTTCTCAAAGTTCATAGAGTTTTTAGAGGCTTAAGAAGTGAAAAAAAAAGAAAAAAAAAGTGGTGCTTCCAATTACTGCATGAGAATATTAGAGGAACAAGATAATACCAGTTACTTCCAGTTTGCCACCATATTTAAAGTGTATGGCTTTTAGACACTTTAACATCACTGAAATAAGGATGTATCTTATTTAGTGTGCCATAATATACTATTTGGAGCAAGTTTCTGTTGCTTTGTGGTTTATAAAATTCTGATATATTTTTAAATCTTAGGATTGGTGGAATACAGTGAAAGAATACTGTATTAGAATGGTTCTACCATTCTAATAGTATATGTGTATGTATGAAATTATATGTAAGTGTGTGTATAACCTGTAGATCTTTTACTGAAGCTGTAATATTAATTTTTCAGTTAAAGATATACACCAAAAACAAGAGAAAGGAGCCTTTATTTATTCAATCCTAAGAAGAAATAATGTGTAAAATCTTAGAGATTTCTAAGTGTATGGATTGTCTCAGTTTTCAAATCTCTCTATCCCCAACTAAGGAAACTTGTGAAGACTCATCAAACACTTCAAAAGAAAGTTTAAAAACATCGGCTGAAATCTTTAACATAGGTTAGTATGCAGATGTTTCTCTGTATTGTTCTTAGTCGACTGTTACATTCTATAAGCAAAATACATTTTAAGAAAGGAAAAGTTCCTTGAAAGACATCCACTGTAAACTTGGCTTCTCTGAATGGGTATATTAGAGGTTTCCCAGTCACAGCGCCTCAGTTCATCACGTGGTTCTCACCTACGTTTCAGGAGACCACTAAAGTCAAGTTCTCCTGCATCCTCTTGACCTTCACCACTGTCATTAACAAAAGAAAAGCAAATCCACGTTTAATGTGGAGACACATACACAACCATTTCCCCCAAACAGTACATACACCACATATGCAATGTACTAGCACGCAAGTCATGGAGCTAAAATCAACACAAACAATTTCTTTTCACACAAGTGACATTTGAAAATTTGGGAAGATGTACTTGTGGAAAAGTTAAACAAGAAGAGCTTGTGTTACTCCATGATTTCAGAAGAACGATTCTTTTTTCCCCCCCTCATAGATTGCATATATAAAACAGCTGGGATTTGTGTTAAACCCAAGTAACACAAATGCACTTAAGCCAAGCAACACAAAGTACTTTGTTTTTGCAAGTTGGGGGCTCTGGAAATATCCCTGTGTAAAAAGCAAAGGACTTTTGCTGATCTCTGTTATCCAGGTGAGACAGAGATTGGCTTGGTTCTGCCTTTATCATACAAAGTGTACCAATGTCAAATATATAAGTACAAAGCCTTATATTCCAAAGGTAACTTCTTTGTGGCTATGAATAGATAAATCAGAAAATGGATATCAACATAACATAAAAATGGAGCTAGCGCAGAGCTTTTTAAAAGATGCATTCCTTTCTGTTTTAAAGGGAAAAACCTCAAAATCTTTTCATTCCCTTATTGATACTTTGGAGTCTTTTCCAACTTATTTTTCAAGAAATTTGCTTTGCATTATTGATGAACCTTTACTAGTAGTTCTTTTAAAATGCTTTCCTATAGAGAAATGCATCTTAAATTAGGCATGCAGCCACCTTCGTGATTTCATAGACTTTAAACAGAAGCTACGGAGCTGACAGTTAAATGACACTGAGTATTTACTTACATGTTCAATTTTTTTTTTAATGAAGATTTTGTTTTCTGCTCTTTACAAGTGTAAGTACTGTTTCTAAGAAAAGAGTCTGTGGGTTTAAAAACAGTGTGTATAACATGTAAGTTATAAGGCTTCAACTCAAAGCAAGTTTCCAGGAGTTCTTTAAGAGCAGATTTTTGGAGAAGGGCCATCCTCATGAAACCCCGATTTCCCTCTCTGAAAGTATACTTGTTCATGGTGTGAGCAGAACTTTAACCTCAGACATTTGCTTTCTCTTGGGTCAAGGGAAAGTGGAAGGAAAGCAACAGGATTTGAAAGGTTTTTAAATAAAAAAAGAACTTAAAATCACTTGAAAGACAGCTAATATTGGGTGGCTTTTAAAAAGAGTTGACATTTTTTACTTATTCTCAATTTTTAGAGAGAATTGTGCCTTGTATGAATAGACTAAGTTATTTTTGCAAGATTATTTCCCTTACTAAGCAAAACCCAATATAGGTGCAGTCTTCAAAAGAATATGTCACTTTCATGAAGCAATCGATACTTTGGAAGAATTAAACACAGAAAGTAAAATAAGGGAGCAGTTACATTTATTATAAACCAGAAAATAAAAATTTCTATTTTCCTTCTTTAACCCTGTTTGTTCAGCCTTAACAGCTGTAAAATAAATCAAGTAGACATCTTGACCTTCAACAATATTTATTATTCTAGCCAACTCATTGGTCTTTGATTTGGGATAATTTCACTTTCAAATGTTGCTAATTTACGTAAGTGGTCAATTCATTTTAATAGGTCTAGAAATGATTTCCTGATGAAAAGCAATAGAAATTATTGTTTCTGACTTTACAACTGATGCCATCTAAAATGAGTTATCTTTAACTACCTCTTCTGACCACTAGGTGGAAAACAGTGCACTCAAGGAAGAAGTTTCATTTGCTTAAACCCAAAGTACAAACTTTAAAAAAAATTTTATTTTATTATTATTGTGTGTGTCTGTACTGTCAAATCAGATCTGACTGGTACAGGAGGAGACTGCCCCTCCTTCTCCAGCAGAGCATCTGGTGGATTTGAACTGCATTATCTCTGGGATTGCATTGCAGCTTCTTGCCACTAGGCCACCAGAGCTCCCCTGCAAAGTACAACTTTTAAGGCTCTATGAAACCTTAAAAAATGGGAGCTTCACTGTAGCAAGAATAATCTTTTTAAAATGACATTATTGTCTTGATTTGGCATTACATATATGATCATTCCAGACTAACAATTTTGGAAAGTTTGTTCAACTCTATTGAAAAGGATTGTTATTTGCAATTTGGGGTGTGGAGGAAGGAAAAGTATGTTTTGAAAATCCTCCACTACCCTGTTATTTAAGTTACCTAGCTTCCCCCTTTGGAGTTACCTTCTCTTGAAAGCAGATCTGATGTCAATGTTTGGAGTTGTCCCAGTGGATTCTTTGAAAGGAAAGAAAACAATTTAAAGTCAATACATACTAAGAAGGCAGCTATGTGTTCACACCTCTAGATGGAAGAAATGCCAGCTAAAGAGGGTATGTGGCTTTCCTCCTTGATGGGTTAGCAGTGCAACTCCATCATAACGTGTTGTTGTTAGATGCTGTTGAGTACAACTCATAGCAACCCTATGAACAACAGACCTGAACCCTGTCCTGTCCTGTGCCATCCTCGTCATCTCTGACACACTTGAGCCCACTGCTGCAGTCACTGTGTACAATCTATCTTGTTGGGTGTCTTCCTCTTTTTTTCCGACCTTCCATATTTCCAACAAGCTTGGTCTCTCTCTCTCTCTCTCTCTCTCTCACACACACACACACACACACCCCAGTGAAGACCTTAGGGGTCACCTTGTCCAGATACTGTCCAAATTACTTCCTCATTAAATCTGACTATCTTAAAAAGTATTCCGCTTTCTTATGCTTCTTATTGGAGATCTTAATTTACCTAAACATAATTTTGACAGACACTCAGAAATCTGTATTCTTAAAGGTCCTCCAAGTGATTTTCAAAGATACTCAGATAGAATGAAGAAAGCTGCTTAAGGTTGGATTCTCACTGCAGAAATTCTGACAGCTTCTCCATCCACTGGCATCCAGCCTCTGCTTGTCTCTTGTAGTGGACATCTTGAACCCAGTAGATATCTTGACCCCTCCCAGATGGTCTCTGTAGCCTTAATGAAAGAGCTCATCCTGATGCCTAAACATTTGCCTTCTCATAATGTCTACTCTCGATTCCTAATCTGATTATTAAAGTCAAAGCACTTCTAGAGTAAAGGGGAAAGGGCCCTTTCTTCTTCTACGTGACAACTTTTCTCCAATTTGTAAGGAACCATGTGTGCCTGATCATGTTCAAGTTGGAACAGACAGAGGTTCCTGGACTCTTCATCCTACTGGTTTACCTGTTCTAGAAGTGACCCAGGTGGAAGCACAGTACCCAGGACCCAAACTATTTCTCCCAATGTAAAACAAGGAGCAGAATTACTTGCTCTATCTTGATCTTATGTCACTTCCAATAGCCTATTTTAAGACTACACGAGCTTTGGGGTTTATAGCTATAGCACACATTGAGTCTGTTGAATTTATGCTTTTTAACTACTACCACATCAACTTTCTCTTCTGAATTCTCCTAAAAGTTATTGTTTTCCTTTCAACTTAAATGCATGTTATTATACAGTGGGCATTTTGCAAGAAGGGACCAGTTCTTGGAGAGGGACATCATGCTTGAGAGGGTGGAAGGACAGCACAAGAGAGGAAGACCCTCAATCAGATTGACTCAGTGACTGGGGTAATAGGGGTAGGTGTGTCAGAGACGATGAGGTTGGCTCAGGATAGAGCAGGGTTCAGAGCTGCTGTACACAGGGTTGCTATGAGTCACAAGTGTCTCAATCTCAACAGTAAGTAACAAAATAGTTATTCCTATTTTTTGAGAAATATACTCTCACACATTAAGCCTTACAAGGTAAATTCTCCCAGCTGAGTATCCTGACATCTTCATTTTATATTACCTTATCCTCAAATCTGAGTAGGATTTTGTGGACCAAATGAAACAGATCCATTTAATGACAACAAGCACAACAAAAATGATATTATTCCTTTAGCTAGGAGATCAAAGGAATAGAAATAACATTGAAAAGAGAGACTTATCAATAAAATTCCCTAAGCTTCAGTTTTAAATAATTTCTTAACAATTTTATTCAGCTGGTTTGCTGAGACAATAGAAACACAAATATTTTTGCTTTATGGCTTTGTTATAATATCAGAAACCAGTATTTTTAAGCCTTTCAACTACACACACATAAATATACGCACACACAAAATGTCCCCAACATAAGGTTTAGATTACTTTCCCCCTCCATCTGCTCATAGCCGTTAAGAAGTCACATTAAAAAGAGGCACAAAAAAGGTATTTTTATTTACCCTTTACTTCGAGATCAAATGAACAGCTGTCAAATTTATCCTTGTAGGTGACTTCACACCTGTAGTTTCCTGCATAGTTCTCTTTGGCCTTAATGATCTGCATCTCAAATGTATACACCTGCAGTGAGACAAACACATGCATCTGTCACTCCTGCCTTGTGCACAGAAAGAGGTGGTGCCATTTAAATTCTTTAATACTGACTTTAAAAATGGGTCTGATTAGCTCTTCTTTAACTATTCGATAGACTTTATCAAGGAGAAGCAAGACAATCATAGTCTAAGAGCTCCATAAGGAAAAGCTAAAGAGAAATGTGTACACAGATTGAAACAGATGTTGGAGAATTAACATGAAGGGGGGAGGGAAGAGTTAAAAAGGCAATATACATTTTGAGGTTGATTTTTATGTGCTGTCGGGTTGGAACTGACTCATAGCTGACTCTCCAGAGGGTTTTCAGAGGCTGCAAATCACATGGGAGGAGACTGTCTATCTTCATCCCGTGGGGCAGTTGGAGAATTCAAACTGTGTGTCTTGGGTTGACAGCACAGCTTCTTATCACTTGGCCACCATTGCTCCCCGAGGTTGATTGTTGTTGTTAAGTACTATTGAGTCAAAACCAATTCACAGCTGACCCTCCAGCCATTTTTTTTTTCCAGTGCAACTCCTTATCACTAGGTTACCAGAGCTCCCTTGAGGTTGATCAGATATTGTAGTTAATAAAACATGCTGGAGGGTCAACTCTGGGTAGTTTCTACTTGAAGGCAGGCAACGATCATCAATGGCAGTTAATGTTCTAAAATAAAATGTCTGTAAGTCATTGTATGAAAAAGCAGTATTACTTATATAGTCTCACTCAATTTAAAAATATATATAAAAGAAATGTATTTATCTGAGGATAACAGTACAACCTTCTAAGGATAGAGCATGAACAGATTGTCGAGGCTTGGAGTGGTAACACCAGAGACTGTTCTGAGACTGAAAGCGACCAGCGTTAAACTTGAAAATGACCTTTTACACACAGAAAGAATGAGCCAGACGAGCCCCTGTGTTGGGTGCTCAGGGCCTTACCCGGGTTTGCCTTTCAAATGTTTCCTTCAGCTGGAGGTGCTTCCCAGCTTTGCTGGCCAGATCCATCCATTTCCCTTTGAACCATTTGACAGTGGGCTTGCGGAGAAGATCTTCAGCCTTGACTTTGGCTACAAAGGTAATATTTGCACCTAGAGAAAGCACAAGTGGTTCAGAATGGCTCCAAGCTTGTCGTTTACCTAGAAAGAAATGATGGACTGGTGTTTTGGCGCCCCCTGGAGTTGTGCATTGAGGTGAGGCCAATTGTTTTATGATACTGTTTAAAAAGTCTTTTTGTCTGGAGCTACGTTGTTCTTTTATGTATTGAGAGAACTGTTTCTTATAAGCATCTTCATCTTCTTCCAATAGGTAAAACGCATATAATCCGCAACATTGATGTATAAGAAAGCACACGCTGCCATACGAGAGAATGCAGTCTATGAGAAGAAGCCTAAGAAAGATGTTAAAAAGAAGAGGTGGAATCGCCCCAAAATGTCTCTTGCCCAGAAGAAAGATCGGGTAGCTCAGAAGAAAGCAAGCTTCCTCAGAGCTCAGGAGCGGGCTGCTGATAGCTAAACCAATTTTCTGTGAAGATTTTTCAGATAAACACAATACATTTATTGTTCAAGCAAAAAAAAAAAGTCTTTTTGGAAAATTAGTTTCTAGCTCTATTGCAAATCAGCATTTCAGCATCACACAGAAACAAAGGAGAGCAAACGTCTCCACTGCATGCCGTGTGCACCTACATCCCTGACCTGAAAGGAGAGATTCTGAATGATATTCAGCTGTTTGTGCTTGTTGGTTTACTGTTAGGAAGTGTGAAGGTCTGATCACAGTACAGGTAGTCCTAGCTTATGGTGGGGTTCTGTTATGACAGTTGTGTCAGCAAAATGGTTCGGACATAAATTTTTTTTTATTATTGCCTTTTATTACCAGTATGTTTAAGACCCTAGTAGTATTTTGAACTATAAATCATAAAGTTGAACATTTGTGAGGGAACATCCTAGCATGACCAGTGACCTCACCAGCATTGTGTTATTGATTGTATTACTGATGATAAGGTGGCGATGAAAAAAAGGAAAACGGGAAGCATTAGATGTGGTTCATTGTACCTTGACTGTGTCGTAAGTCAGGGACTGCCTGTATATTACTGTAAGGTTTAGTTATAATCCCTGGACCTTGATCACTTGGGATCTTTGTGCCTGTCCTTGCTGGAGGCCTCACAAGTTTGAGTCCTCCTTCCTTTTTTTTAAAAAAAGTATTGTATTAATTTTAATGAACATTTACAGAGATTTTGGATTTCCATTCATTCATTGTTGCACTTTTCTCCCTGCCACCCCTCCCCCCCAGTTAGCTCCTCTCTTTGAAAAGTAAAAGAAAAATTCTTTCATTGGTATACAATCCCCCCTCCCCACACCACCCCGAGTACACTCCACTATGCAACCTTAATTCTGGACTCTTGTGATAACCATAATACTCTATCATGTATCGCTTTTAAACTGTTCTTTCCCTCATCTGTTTCAATGCAGTATACAAAATTTGTTCAGTTTTTCTCACTCTTACCACAGCCCTGATGTCAGTCCCATTCTACAACAGTAGCACCATGCAGTATTTGTCCTTTTGTGACTGAGATACTTCACTCAGCATCATGTCCTCCAGGGTCACCCATTTTGAATGATATTGCATGAGTTCCTTGTTTTTCAATGCAGCATAATATTCCATTGTGTGAATATACCACAGCTTCTCTATCCATTCGTTTGTTGATGGGCACTTAGGTTGTTTCCAACTCCTTGCTATTGTGAACAAAGCCATGATAAACATGGGTGTGCATATATCTGCTTGGATGTCAGTTATGGTCTCTTTAGGGTATATTCCCAGTAGTGGAATTGCTGGGTTAAATGGTATCTCTATTTGCAACTTTTTGAGAAAGCACCACACCACTTTTCACAGTGGTCGCACCATTTTACACTTCCACCAACAGTGAATAAGGGTTCCAGTTTCTCCACAACCTCTCCAGCATTTGTTGCTTGCTGTTCTGTTAAATTTTGCTATTCTGACTGGGGTGAGATGATATCTCATAGTTGTTTTGATTTGCATCTCTCTTAGAGCTAGGGATTTTGAACATTTCTTCATGTGCTTGTTGTCTTTTTTGGTTGAAGTGTCTGTTCATATCCTGTGCCCATTTTTCAGTTGGATTATTTACCTTTATCTTGTTGTGTATTTTGCTCAAGTATTTTATAAAATCTGGATATAAGTCCCTTATCTGTCATTACCAAATACTTTTTCCCAGTCTGTGACTTCCTTGTTCACCCTGTTGGCGAAGTTTTTGGATGTGCATAGGGATTTGATTCTTAGAAGGTCCCATTCATCTATTTTATCTTCTTCTGGTTGTAGAGCATCCTCCTTCTATATAAACTCTTCCCCCTCCAGACCCCGCTCTAGCTTACCACCTTGTTTCCTTTGGAGCACTCAGCTTTTGTCCTTATTTGTTGATTTACTTTTTATTCTCTACTCTTCTTAGATGGTTAGGTCTGAGTGCTCACCCACTATGCACAGTGTTCAGCACCAAGCCCAAAATATAAGAGGGGTGTGACCACTTTTATTGTGATGAACATCTCAAAAGTTGAACCATCTCTCTTAACTAGCTGTCTCTGAAATACAACAGGATCTTTGTGGGTGCTGATTGTGTGTGTGATCTTATGGTGTGACGTGACAGAATACCCTAGCTCAGAGATTTCTGATATGCCAGGCACCGTTCAAAGTACTTCACAGGTTCACTTCTCATGATCTCCACTCTACATCTGAGGACACTGAGTCAGAGAGAGATTAAGTCTTTACCTGAAGAAAACAGCTAATAAGAAACAAAATCAGGATTTCAACCCAAAACACTTAGCTGCAGGACCCACTGCCTAGCTACAGGTGTTAACACTTCTTAAACTGATAGTAGTTGCTGTCCTTCTTGGGTTTAGAAAAACAGCAGGATTTAGTATATGTTTGCAATGGAAAAGTATTTAGCCATAAGAAAAGGAATAAAGTACTGAGAAATGCTACAGTGTGAATGAACCTCAAAAACACCCTAAGCCAGGCAGAAAAGACCACATATGATTCCATTTAGCTGAGATCGCCAGGTGAGGTTAATCTGTAGACAGAGAAAGCAGATGTGTGCTTACCAGATGCTCAAGGAACTGGGATATCATTAGTAAAACGGTTCCTTTTGGGGTGATAAAGTTTTGTGATTAGATAAAGGCAGTGCTTGCCGCAGGAGCAATAACTTTGTAAATTATAAATTGTAAATTATAAATTTGTAATAACTTTGAAAAACTTGGGAGGGACCGAAGAGCATTATGCTGAGTGAAACCAGTCCCACAAGGATAAATATTGTATAAAACCATTACTGTAGAATTTGAGTATAAGGATCCAGAAGGTGCGGGAGAGGCTGGAAGCAGAGGAATGAGGATGTACAGGGGGAAGAGGGGATTAATTATTGGGTTGTACAATATGATGGGGGGGGGTGGTAAGGGAAATTGGAATAATTTGTTCAAATTTGTATTAGAATTTTCTAAATAACCTAGTGGGGAAAAAAAGAGGACTGACATAGGGGTTGGGGGGAAACGGAGAAAGAGGGGATAAATAATGTATACTACATTGAAAC